ATTTTTACTCCTGGTTTGTCGAATTCATTTTTTTCCTTGTCTGTTTTTGTGATGCAAATGGAGATTTCGTTATTGCACACTCGGAGCGGGTTTACCGTTACGCTATTTGCTGCGCTTTGTGTCTATTCCTATGTCGTTTTTTTTTAATTTGAAAATTTTGAACGTCTGATGCGAATGGAGTTTTCGGTCAGCGACTATTTTTCCTTATTAATTTTTGTCACGTTGAAAATTCAGCTTTTCAGTGACCAAGAGAGTTTTTGCCGTGCAAACCACAAACTGGGTTTAGCCTTTAACAGGACACGTTCTGCGGTTTTATTTAACTCGCTTGCTACAAGTGGAGTTTTTGTCGTTGAACACTCGAAATCAGTTTAGCGTTACGTTATTTGCGATTAACGTCCATTTTTCCGAATTGGTTTTTGCTACTTTGAATAGTCGCCTCTCCAAATTCGAAGAGAGTTTTTGCAGGGTCATCCAAGAAATGAGTTTAGCATTGAACGACGAAAACGTTTTACTGTTGCTGATATTTTGTTTTCGCTATTTTCTCGAGCTTTTATTTAACTCGCTTGCTACAAGTGCAGTTTTTGTCGTTGAACACTCGATATGGGTTTAGCGTTACGCTATTTGCGATTAACGTTTATTGTTACTTTTAGTGGTTTTCTTCGCGCCACTTTCGTATATCAGTAGAGTTTTCGTCGTGTACTAATGATGGCTGTTAATTCGGTTTGGTTTATTGCTATTAATTTTATGTTTGGTGATGATTAACGTTATATATGGGGGGTTTTAGTCGAGACTGATTCCATGCGAGGGAGTTTTCGCAGTGTTAGTGGCTTAATTCGGTTTGGTTTATTGCTATTAATTTTATGTTTGGTGATGATTAACGTTATATATGGGGGGTTTTAGTCGAGACTGATTCCATGCGAGGGAGTTTTCGCAGTGTTAGTGGCAAACGTTATTTGCGATCGGTGTCCATTTTCTGGTTTTTGTTTTCAGATGTGCGACTAGCCGCCCTAGAATGCTTGGTGGAATTTGTGAAAGCCGATGGAAAAATGGACGATTTACGTCACGTCCTGGACATCGTGGAAACGGATCCCGATCCAGGGCTGCGCCACAAACTGGCGCTAATCCTGGTGAAGAATCCGCCCTTTAAGCGCGCGCATCGCTCCAAACTGGACGTTCCCGAGTTGGTCGAGCGCATTTGGGGCAACATCAAGTAAGTAACCGCATTACTTGCCTAGTCGTTCACCCTGTTATTTTGCCGATTGCTCCCTCTAGCGGAATGCTGTCGCACGACACCCGAATCCGGTGCGACTTGGTCGATCTCTATTACACCCTGTACGGGAACAGGCGCCCCATCTGTATCCCGTTGCCCGAACTGTCGGGCCTAATGAATCTGGCCAAGCCCGATATGAAGAAGCTGAAGGGCCCCATTCCGCGTCTGGCGCACTCCGAGAGCGCAGAACCGAAAAAGGAACCCAAAGCCAGCCCCTGCGCAGTCAAAGTCAAGGAGGCGCCGCCCGAGGCCACGCCCCTGGACGCCGTCCAGGCCAGGGTCAAGGTGAGTGTTGCTTGAGGCGGTAGATGGCGCCTTGTACAGCACAGCTCAATTACAGGCGGAGTTGCCAACTGTTGCCGATGCGACAATGGAAGAGCCGGCAAAGCAGGAATTCTTCTCGGACAATTCGGTGTCGTTGCCCGGCCTGGGCCAGACCGGGCCTGTCGGCTTCGAGCCCGGGATGTTCAAAAAGGAGGAGGGGGACGCCCATGGAGTCAAACATAAGGACAGGGGCGACAAGACGGACCCTTCGGGAATTAAGGTAGGGATTTGGGTCGTTTTTCAATGTCAAAACTGACGCTTCCTGATTCCGGTTGTTTGCAGGCGAAAAAGCGGAAAAAGGACAAGAAAAAACACAAGCATAAACACAAGCACAAGCACGAACATAAACACAAAAAGGAGCGCGTGAAGAAGGAGGGGGAGACCGCATCGAGCACTCGGGACGAGACCACGCCCAGCTCGACCAGCTCGACCCCCAGCCCCAATCCGCCCGGCGAGTCAATGGGTTAAGGGGTGGGGGTTTAAGCAAGAAACGCTTATTCAGATAGGATTATATTTATGTTAACTGTCGATTATATAGAATAGTGTGTGCCTGTCACGATAAAATAGGTTTTACACATTGTAATAGTTAAATTTCCATTGGGATATGTGTCAATAAACAAGAACAGTTATTTTCTATTAATTGACTCTCTCTCTCTCTCCCGATTTTGCGCCGACAGTGAAATTTCCAATAAAACTGTGCGAAAACTCCCTGCTCCCGTTATTCTAGCAGTGCCCTTTCCCCTCTTTGCGAGTGCAGATTTCGTCGTGCAACCTTCGCAAGACTGTGCGAGAACTCTCCCTTGCTCCCGCTATCTTGAACATTCTGCTTTCCCGGTAGAAATCGACTGCGCCAAACACTGAAATTTCCGGTGACGCTGTGCGAAAACTCTCTTTGACTCCTGCTCTTCTCGCTATCTCCTTCAACATTCTGCTCTCCTGGTAGAAATCCACGGCGCCGAAATATTGAAATTTCCGGTGAAGCTGTGCGAAAACTCTCTTTGACTCCTGCTCTTCTCGCTATCTCCTTCAACATTCTGCTTTCCTGGTAGAAATCCGCGGCGCCGAAACATTGAAATTTCCGGTGACGCTGTGCGAAAACTCTCCTTGACTCCTGCTCTTCTCGCTACCTCCTTCAACATTCTGCTTTCCTGGTAGAAATCCACGGCGCCGAAACATTGAAATTTCCAGTATAACAGTGCGAAAACTCTCCTTTGCTCCCGTTATCTTGAACATTCTGCTTTCCTGGTAGAAATCGACTGCGCCGAAACAATGAAATTTCCGGTTAAGCTGAGCGAAAACTCTCTTTGACTCCTGCTCTTCTCGCTATCTCCTTCAACATTCTGCTTTTCCGGTAGAAATCAATGGCGCCGAAACATTGAAATTTCCAGCAAAACAGTGCGAAAACTCTCCCTTGCTCTTGCCATCTTGAACATTGTGCTTTCCTGGTAGAAATCCACGGCGCCGAAACATTGAAACTCTCAGTAAAACAGTGCGAAAACTTTCCCTTGCTCCCGCTATCTTGAACATTCTGCTTTCCCGGTAGAAATCGACTGCGCCATCATTGAAATTTCCGGTGACGCTGTGCGAAAACTCTCTTTGACTCTTGTCGCGAAATCTCCCCTCAACAAAGTCGACGTTGCGCACTGCAATTTCCAGTAAAACATTTCGCCAATAGAGAGCATCTACAAGCATAAAAAATAGCGTAACGCTAAACTCGTGCTCGCTGCCGCTCGGCAGCAGCATGTTTACAGACTGACCACGCCCAGCTCCCCACTCCCGCCGGCGAGCCAATAGGATAAGGGTGATGGTACAGCAACTGAAACGGCCATTCAGAGTAGATTCTATTTATTTTAAATATTAATTATCGATTACATAGTATAGTGTGTGTGCCTGTCAGGATAAAATAGGTTATGTACAATGTAATAGTGAAATTTCCATCGGGATATGTGTCAATAAACAAAATCGGTGATTTTCTATTAATTAACGCTCTCTCTCTCTCTCTCCCGTTCATTGAGTCTGGTCACGGACCAGTTGGAAACGGTCAGCAACTGACCGCGCATGCGCAGCAAGTCAAAGCCGTTTGTTTCAACGTGCTGCGCTTGCGCCGCGCAATTGTCCGCGAACAGGCGTGAGTCTGTTGGCGCAGCCCACCCATTCAATGGGTGGGGGGATGGCTAAATGTGGGTGGGTGGGTGTGTGTGTGTGTATATACATCGACATGAAAGCGTAACTTTGATTGGTCAATGATATAAAAATAATTGTACTACGGCTACGCTTCTAGGCAACGATGCGCCGCAAAACGATGCGCGGCAACGGTGCCTGGCACGAGGTGGGGGGGCGCAACCGCCCATCTGACAAACCACGCCTATTTACAACAACGTTACTCAATCGTGATTATTTATTTATACTTTATACAAGTGCAACGGGGCTGGGGTGGGGGGAGGGCGGTTGGAGTGGAGCGGGGGGCGTTGCAATTCAATCAAATTAAAAGCTCGTTCACACGCTGACACTCATGTATGATTGGATTGTTGTGACGTGAATGACGCAACGTCATTGTCTGAACAGTTGAATCAGTCACATGGAAGTGTGGAAATGCGTAAACGAGCGTTGCTACGGCAACTCCCCCCTCCTCGCTGCTCTTCTCCCCACCACCTCCACCACCACGCAAAAACTTCATTCACTCACAGTGGCGCACGCGCGTTTTGCGGCCGGCACATCGCGCCCCCCAACGATAAACATTTGAACTAAAAACGACCCTACATGGCTAGAAACGAACGAATTAATTAATTACTTACAATTCTGGATCGATGATTTCCCTTAACTAGAGATAACTAAGTGTTTAATTTAAGTAACGTTATTATTACTTTTCCTGGACATATCT